CCATTCCTATTTAAGGTAAGAGTTCAAAGTAAATTTTTCAAGTAAAAAATTCTTTTTTTTTTAATGAGTGAATAAAAATGAAAATCAGTTTGTTTGAAAATGCGCGTAACCGTTTAAAAATATATAGCATATAAAAAAATAAAAAATAAAAGGTATTTTACCGTTCTTTTGTATATCTTTTGATGTTCTTATTTTTACGGTTGTTTCGATCGGTTTTTTTTTTTTAAACTTAAAATCTGTGGATGGCTGGTCATCTTTCATTCGCGAGTCGTTGTTTCCTTCTTCATCCGTATCACTTTTCATTTCGTTTTCTTCATGCTTTTTGTTGGTATCGTGTTTGGTTGTGGTGGTGTTGGCTTGGGTTATAACCTCTTTAATTAGGTTAGAGGTTTGATTTGTTGGATTTGAGTTGTGTTTCTGGATTTGATTTGTTGGTTCTGAGTTGGTTGTTTCAGTTTCATGGTTCGGTTCAGTTTGACATTGGATGGTTTAGAAATTATCGTGTGGGAGGTATTTTGATTTCGGAGGTTGTTGGTGGTACTTGCGGGTTATATTCTTGTATTGGGTTTGCGGTTTCTTCAGTAGGTCTTTTAACAGATATAGGTTGTACAAATGATGTTGATTGTTGGCCATTGTACCCCGTTCTGAGTGCATATTCCATAGTATTCAGGCTGACAGGCATCAGGACTGGCATATTTTCCATAACCGCCACGAGGATGACTGTATAATATTCCGAACCACTAACAGGCGTTTTCCTCATGACAGGCTTTTTGTAAACATGTCTTCCGTACCCCATCTGTTCGAAAATATTTCCAATCTGGAACAGATACTCAGTGTTGCCAAATTAAAATTGCGAAAAAAAGCTATATTTTGTTTAAAAAAAGGGTCTAAAAAACTAAAAGTTTATAGAAAAAAAAGCTAAATATAAAATTTCCATTTATTTCATAACTTTTTTTTTACTTTGCTTTACATTTATTTATTTAATTTAAGTAGAGAAATTTGTTGATGTCAGCGATGTGTCTGCCATCAATTGCCGGGAAATGAGTCAAATGAGTGAAATGACATCTATTTCTTCTTCATTCAAAATGTTTTCTTGATTATCTTTACAAGTATCTTTTTTTTGGCTGTACGTCTTCATATTTCCTATTGAATTCAATACTGAAGAAGGTAATATATAATCTCTGCCGCACTTATCGTTGCGTCTGAAGCCATACTTTATTAAAAGAATAGACTTTAACATCGGAAGTCCCATTCTATTTCTCATCATCGTTTTTGCAATGTTCATGGAACTAAATACTCTTTCAATTTCTGCATTTGAATTTGGTAAAATTAACATCTTAATTGCACATTCAGCAATCTCTTGAAATGGATTGACTCCAGAAGCATCTTGATATTCTTTTACCTCTGACGAGAACAGTTCAGTATTTTTTATATTGTCCATTTGTGTTTTATTGAAGTTCAGCAGCAATCTCAGTTTCTGTTGTGCACAGCAGTTGCAAGATTGAGGTAGTAATAGGCTCTTTTAAATGCTTTAAGGTGTTATCTACAGAAAACAAGATATTTTTCTTAAAATATTTAAATTATCTGGTAAGCGCTGCTTAAGTTGTTTAAAGAGACAGAAATCTTTTGATCTATTTCGAATATTGTCCTCATCTTTGTCGGTTACTTTCTTTTCAGTTACAAGCTCTAAAATTTTCCTTTCAAACCTGTAACCAAGGTTTGGTTTAGGATCTAAATAATCTTCTATATTAGACACTAGAAGATCAATTGGGCTGATAGAAAAAATTAACATGTAAGCAATCACATTAATCATCCGAGAAAGATCTTCAAATAGTTTAGTCCGCACTATTAGATTCAAAAACTTTATTCACTTGTTGAACTTGAACTAATATGGGATGCAAAAAGAAAAGGTATGCCATATTATTTTTACCCTTGTACATCTCGTATAAGATTTGAGCTGTGTAACACTTTTCAGTTGTCCATGCAATTTGAAAGTGAGTTTTCAATTCCAGCCACTGGTTTAAAATTCTCTCTACTGCAGGTTCAATAGAGAGCCACCTGGTTGCACAATTGTTCAAAAATTTTAGAGGTATTTGATTGTCATTAATAGCTTGATACAGTTGCTTTACAGTTGTTATGTCACCTTTGCAAAATCAGCAATGTCCTTTAGTACTGTCACTAGGGACCTCACATAACTACTTTATAAATGCGTCCATTTGTAGCCACTCTTTTCTGAAGCTTTGCTTATATGTTTTACTTGCGCTTTTACTCATCTTAAATTGGAAAATAATTATTAAGAATTTAATTTATCAATAATTAAGACACTACTTCTCACAAATACATAGAGTGTCAGAGTGTCTGTTACGCAGATTACAGATTTTTCAAGCAAAGGAGAGATAAAGATTCGAGCGAGAGACTTACGCGGCGACGCAACATATGTAAGTGAATAAGCAAACTCCTTAGCCAGTAGTCATTACTCAATAGCAAAGAACCAAAAACTTTTTCAAACGTTTAATTGAAACGTGTTACAAACTTGTTTGTTTTTTATAATTTTTCAAACAAAATTAAGACATGTACCAGAAAAAATCTGCGCGTGTTCTAATATGGTGTTTACGGAAACCGCGCACCATTTTAAATAGCTAATTGTTTTAAAATCTCATTGTATTAGTGTTATTCAAAATTTAAACAACTCTGTTATCAAAACAATTAGTTTTAATTGAAATGTCATCAAATCAAGATAAGAAGCGAAAAAAAATTTGCATTTTTTCGTTGAAAATCCTGGCGTATCAAACAAAATTTTTAAAGAGTTGCAGATTACTTTGAGAACAGTGCAGAGCGTTGTAAAACAATTTAAGGACACTGATAAAACCAAAAGGAAATCAGGAAGTGGAAGAAAAAAATGTTTCATTAGACGAGATCTTGGACAAAAGAAGTGAAAGATGCCCTAAACAGAAAACCTTAGACTTCTGTTCGAAATTTAGCAAATAAATTTAAGACAAGTACTTCCTATATACAAATAATAAAGAAAAATTGTTGCTATAAATCTTATAAAAAGAAAAAAATTTCTCGTCTTGAAGAATAGCAAGAAAATGTCGCAATTCGTTGTTCAAATGTCGCAATTCGTTATTCAAAAAATTGCTCTATAAAAAATTGTATGTTAAAAAATCTTGTTTGATTATTGATGATGAAACTTATTGTGCTGCATATTTCCGATCTTTTCCAGTACACCAATATTATTCAGCAATTTATCGCAAGAAACTGAATTCCAATTATAAATCCAAAGGAATGCAAAAGTTCGCAAAAATTTCTTAGTTTGGCAAGAAATTTGTGAATGTGGTGAAAGAAGCTTTTGTTTTGTGACTGCGAGAACAATTAACATCAAAATATACATAAAAGAATGCCTCAAGAGACGCCTTTTGCCGTTTTTAAAAATACTCACGGGTAACCCGTTATTTTGACCCGATTTGTCACTACCTGGGACATGTCACTACCTGGAACAAATTTAAACTAACTTACAGAACATAAAGTAGATTTCGTAGAAAAACACTGCAATCCACCAAATTGCTCCAAACTACGTCCTATCAAAAGATATTGGGCTCTTGTCAAAAAGAAAACTAAGCTTTAATGTAAAAGGAGCCAAAAGCAATAAAGACTTCAAAAGTAAATGGGCTAGAGCTACCAAAAATAAATGGATTAGAGCTACCAAAAATAAATGGATTAGAGCTACCAAAAATATATGGATTAGAGTTACCAAAAATAAATGAGAGCTACCAAAAAAGTTTTGCCGAAGGCTGTACAAAAGCTGGTGTTAAGTGTAAAACGCAAAGTGCGTGCGTTCTCACGTACAAAACTTCACAAACTTTCTTAAGTAAAATTTAAGAATATTAATATATGCACTTTCAAAATATATATAACATTTCAATATCGAAATACAATAGTTAAATAAATATCCTTTAAATAAACGTCCGCGCAGATTTTTTCTGGCACATATCTTAAAAGTTTTTCAATTAACTTAGCAGAATAATGTCATTATATATATAATTTTTGGAAAGCCTTAAAAGAGCTAAAGCAATTTTCCATGAAGCTTGATTTAGAGCTAGATTTAAAATTATGAAGATAAAGAAGTATAAAAAGAGAATTGGAAACATTGCAGATCTTGATCTTAGCCATTAGGCCGAGAAGCGATGTGTATATAAGTTTTGTGGTTTATCCTCCGCCAGCTAATTGCCTTGTGGAGGCCACATTACCTAGGTCCGCAGAGCCTTTTTTCGGCTCCTAAAGGAGCTGAAAAAAGTAGGTATGTTAGGGTAAAAGGCATAGGTGGTCGAGTTAGAAAGATAGCATACAGAAAGCGGACCGTATTGAACACGATATTAGAAGGAGCAATTTATATTATTTTATAATATATATATATAATATTATAATTTAAAAAAAAAATGATAATGATATGTTTTTTTCTTTTTTTTTTAGGTTTATATAGATGATGATATGATATTTTTATATGATAATAAAACACGCTTAATGTAACTATACGTTATGTTTATATTTATATTTATACAGTTTAGTTAATGCTTGATAAATCTAAGAAAAATCATGTTTGTGTTGATTGTGATTTGATATTTTAATAATCACGGATTTTATTTAAGTTATATAACTTCGCAATAGCAATATTTGGTCGCATACATTGGATCAACGTTGGGTTTAGATCGTAAAAACAATCAACTTTTTGCGATGTGTTTACTTACATTGGATTAACGTTGATTTATATACATTAAATCAACTTCGAAATATATACATTGGATCAACGTTGGGTTTAGATCGTAAAAACAATCAACTTTTTGCGATATTTTTACATTTATTGGAAAAACGTTGATTTATATACATTGAAACAACCTCAAAATATATACATTGGATCAACATTAGGTTTAGATCGTAAAAACACCTTTTTGCGATTTTTTTACATACATTGAACCAATGTAAATTTGCCAGATGTTTTTAGTTCCGTCAGTATAAATTTTATCATTAACCAAATGACATTAAATCAACGTTGGTTTTGCATTGGAAAAAAGAGCCAAAGTTCGCGATGGTTTTACATACGTTGGCCCAATGTAAGTGTGCTAGCTGGGGTATGTGTATAACCATACTGTATAATCTATAATTATTTGGAAAGAACCATGTTATAAAAGTATAAAATTAGAGATATTTTTATACAGGATTGCTCCTCCATCTTCCTTAAAAAATAATTAACTAAAGAGAAAAAACAATTTTACTGTATTATAGTTTTATGTAGAGTAATATTTTAAAAAATCAAATCAAACATGAGTATTGCAATAACAAATAATTAATACCAAAATCTTACACATTTCTTGCATAGATTGCACTAAATTAACATGAGCTATTGATTATAACACAATCAAAAATGACTTAATTAAATAATAAACATAATAACAAATAATTGAAAAAAAAAATTTTTAATCAAAACTTACAAAACATTTGTTGAAAGTTCACTACAAAAAAAATACTTATACTAATATATTGTATATCTATAAAAATCCTAAAATTTAAATAAATAGAAAACAAACAGTTACCAACAGTACACCAAACAAAAATTTAGATTTTTTTACAATTTTAATATATTAAGTAAAAGAAAAACAAATTGGTATCAACAATACCACAAATAAAAATAAGTTTTTTATAAAAAAGATTATTTAAAAACGTAGAAAATTAAATTCTTATCAGATTGTTGCACAACTAAATTTAAAAATGTTTAGTATTGAAAATAAAAACACATTACTTTTTTTAAATAGAAATAAGATTTTTAAAAGTTTTTAAAAAAGAGACTTTAAATACATTGAAAAAAAATCTTACCTGATTGTGGTTGTTGTTGCGGTTCTCGTAAAAATATAAATACAGATTTAAAAAATACATTAGTAAAGAAAAAGAAAATTTTAAAATATTAAAAACTTTTTAAAAAAAGATTTAAATACATTAAAACAAAACTTTCTTACCAGACTTCTTACCAGATTGTGATTGTTGTTGTGTATCTACTTTAAAAAAAAACAGATAAAAATAAATAGATAAGTAAAAGAAAAACAAATTGGTATCAATGGCACAACAAATACAAAATAGGTTTTTTATAGGTTTGAGAGGCTATTGAAAAGCATAGAATAATTCTTACCAAGTTGTAGTTGCACCACTAAATAAAAAAATATTTCAGTTTAAAATTAAAAAAAATACAGATAACTTAAAAAAATTGTGGTTTAACTAAAAACAAAGAGTAAAGTATATGGAAAGCGAGCAAACAAAAAACTTAAAAAAAAAATAAAAACGACTTTATTGAACAAATAAAGACGACTAAAATCGAATTACTGAACAAATAAAAATTAAATATAAGCAACTTACTGAACATTAAAGCGTCATCAAGAGCCTCTAAAAATTTAAAAAGAGGTTAATAAACAATTCCAACCAAAATAATCTAAAAAGAAAATAAAAAACAAATGCTACCTCACATGATTTGAGCGTGTCGCATAGCTCAACCTACAAAAACCTGTACCTACAAACTTGATCTACAAAATAAAACATCTACTAAAAAGTGAAAATAATTTTTAGATTTCACTTTTTAGTAATAATTATAGGCCTTTTTTAATTCCGTCCGATTTTTTTCTCAACCTATTTTAGAGATTTTTATTTTGAACTGATTGATTTTCAACCGATTATAAACGATATTCATTTCAACCTACTAGTCTGTATTTTACCGTTTTTTCCCTGTATTTTTAAGTATTTTTTTTTTCAAAAACCATTAACAATAAATGAAGAATAGACAAGTTTTTGTTTCAGGAATCAGCAACACGGTTAGCACGGATCCTTATAATGCCTACCTAGCTGTCCCAAGAACGCCGCTTATACGGAAAGTTAGCGTACACATCAAGGTAGTTGTGATGTGATGCAAATTTTGAAATCATTTAATTTTGTCCGCGGAAAATAACTTAATTTCAATTTTCAAATTAAGTCAAGTTTAGACTTCATAATGCGCTAATATAAACACTTGTAGAATTTGAATTTATCCAATATAATTTGATAAAAATTGGTGCAAATGTAGCCAATAGTCACACCAAACTCTGGACGAAATTACAGCTTGATTGGATGACTGGTGTATGATTTATTGCAGATTTAGTTGAAGTTTTGTCATTTTTTTTCTACTTATACCTCAAAGCGTTACCAATTACTTTGAAATTCGGTCACTATTTTTAAAATAACGGTTACATCAGTGTTCTACTATGTAATACCAACAATTTTTGTTTTAATTATTTTATCGGTACATGTACAGTTTTCATTTTATAGACAAAAATAGTGATTTGCTACTTAAAGCGTGATTTAAAATGACGTTGACACGGCCTTCAAAGTGGAAGAGCTCAATTTCTATAATAAAATCCATAATTTCTAAAATAATTGCCTATATTTCTAAAACAAAACGTCCTCGCAAAAAAAAAGTGGGCAGGCCATGGCTTCCTTGACGGCCATTTATGCATAGCGTGAATATACCGACATTTCCTAAGGTATAAACTACTGCCAGAATGCAAAAAATTCTAAAAAATGGTTAAGAAGGATTTCTAGGGATACCTACATTGAAAATAAAAATATTTATTTATCTGAAAACAGAACAACTGTGGAAAAACCAAATATTTTTAATATTGACAAAGATAATTGACTTCAAAAATTTAGATAAGTTAACTTAGGTATCTGACCAATACAAAGTTTGGAAGGGCCAGTCGGAGGAAAACTACTTTAACTGAATAACTAATTAAATTGAAGTGTTGTTTTGAAATAAAACAACCCGTTAGTTTAATAAGTGTGACATTTATCAATAATGTAATTTCCTTACAAGTAAATAGTTTAAACAATTGTTTCCTGGTAAGGAAAGAACTATTCAAGAATTATTTCCTTGTAATTTAATATCACCTCAATTAAATCAAGTAAATATTTCCTTTATTTTAATAGTTTTTTATTAATAATATATGTTACTATGTTAAGTGGATTGTTATCAAATATTAAATTTATATATATTTTATTATATTTATATATATTTACTTAGGTCAAATTTTGTAAAAGGCACAGTTTGATTTAGTGAAGTCAAATTTAGTGAATTGCCACGATGCCAAATCAAGCAAAGAATCATGATGAAAATCGAAAGTTTTCATCATGATTCTTTGCTTGATTTCGAAAAGTAATCAAAAAGAAAAAAAAAAAATTTTAAACAGCTTACTACTTTTCAAGCTGATTGAATATGTCAACTGTACAAGACCAAGATCAATATCAGTGATACTAGAGTACCAAAAGGATTCTGCGAATCGTATAGAAATACTTTGCACAGGAAACAAGAGGGAAAAGAAGCTGCACTCCTTCCTTTGTTTGATTTTAAGTCAATACAAGTAAGACCTGAAACAAGAGGCACGATGTGTTGTTACCTAATATGCCGAATTGGTCGTTCAAAGCTGCAAGAAAAACATCTTCTTATAGAGAAAACCCCTATTGAGAAAAAACCAAAGGTGCGTTGCAGCGAATACCTCAGCCCTTTAGGAAAAGGTTTGCGCCACCAATGCTGTTAAATAATGTTAAGGGAAAACATTCAATCTTTAGCAGGTTTGATAAGATTTGCCAGAAACACACTCCAATATTGAACAAATCTTGTCACTGATTAATGCAAATGGAGTTAAACTTATTTTGGCTTCTGGTATGAAAGCTGCAAATATAATTTGTGGTCTTCAAACTCTTTCAAGTACGCACCCTTGCACCTGGTGTGACGTCAAATCCAATTGTCTTGGCAAATCTGGAAATTTGCGAACACTGGGCTCAATTAATTCAAGCTTTGAGTCTTTTCAGCAATTTGGAGGGGTTGTTTTTAATGCAAAGCTGTTTGGCAATGTCATTTAAAAGCCAATCATCTGCGGGCCTGTTGATGTTCTGATTTTGGAAATCATTCCACCGATGGAATTGCATCTCCTCTTAGAAGTTGTCAGCCATCTTTTCAAGATCCTTAAAACTGCTTGGATAGAAGCTGTTAAGTGGCCAGCCGCCCTCCACATTTAACTGAACCCGTATCACGGAGTTTGAGGGAAATGAATGCAGGAAGCTTCATAAAAATGTGGATATACTGCAGCAACTTGCTGAGACAAACATGGTTCCCAATATTGTGTGCATAATTAAAGCATTCAAAAGCTTCAATTTAGTTGTCAAGGCTTGCTTTGGATACATCCTTCAGCCGGATTTCGCTGAAAAAACTGAAAATTTTAAAAAGTGTTACCTAATGATAATTGGTGCAAGCGTAACACCCGAAATTCACACCGTCTTCTACTACATCAACGATTTTATCAGTCACAAAGGATACCCCTTGGGATCCTATAGTGAACAAACTGTCGAAACTTCTCATCAAGATTTTTATCAATATTGTTCAAGGTATAAGCGAAATAATAATCATCCAGAGTACAAAGAAAGATTGTTGCGCAGCATAATTGATCTAAACAGTAAGCATTTTCAAAGAACATCATTTGAGTTATTAGAAATTAGGCTGCTGAAATTCATATTTTACGGCGTATAGTGAATATTTTCACCATCTTAAAAAGTAGTATTATAGAGTATTTGTGTTAAAAGAGTACATTGAGGTATTTATTAATAATCTTTTGGTGGAGAAAATAAAAAAAAACATTTCTTGAAATCTAATTAGATATTTGATGGTAATACAATGTAAAAAATAGGATTTAAATAGTTTTATTTTTTTTAAAAGTAAATGTATTTACAAAGGTCAATACAAAATATTTTAGGAGATCTACTCTTTTTTTTTGTTTTTTTGCGTAGAGAAAACTTAACAATGAAAAAAACAAAAAAATGATTGTAAATATAAGAGATATTCAATTATTTTATTCACCTATAAATATAATTATTATTCAATCATAGCCAATTATTTAAGGCTTAAATAGCAACTTTAAACATTTCTCTCCAGAAGCTGAAAAAATTGTTAACCCTCTCTTTATTAAGAACCATTTCGATATAAACTGACATTAAAGTCATTCAATGACTTTTTTAACACTCTACTTCTTGACTAAGTTTTTAATCTCTTGGGACCTAGATTTAAATCTTTAAAATATTCAAGAATGTGGGGGGGGGATCAGTCATTGTCATGAGTTTTGTTTATAAAATACTAGATGGGGGTTTTGACTGATCTTTTTTTGAATGCAGAGTCGGAATGATAGACCTAGAAATTCTTGAAAGTAAATTTGCAAATCTTAGTTAGTTTTCAGGTAGCTTAACATGACAGTTGGAACTGCAAACATCCCATATAAACTAACTTGCTTTCTGTTTCAAATCTTATATAATTATTAACCTTATTAACAAGATGGTCCAGTAAAGCTTAAAATAATCAGATGATGAGTGATTATCATAATTGATTTGCTTTCCACATTTTCTAGTTTTTTTTTTCTGTTACATTTAAAGTCAGACCTAATTCAAAAGAAATATTAGACCAGTTTTAGCGAAATAAAAAATTCAATCCATCAAATTTTGGTCAAAACTAAAGTTAGATTTAAATAAAACTCAAATATCAACTATGAGGAGACTTTAGCTAAAATAAAAATACCTAGACTTTTCTGTTTTCAAACCCAACAAGTAAAACAGACATTGATTAGCTTTGCTTTACCAATAGAAGATAATTATTTAAACATGCCTGTAATTTCCGACTAAGGGCATATTTAAAAAATTAAGGGCAGTCAACAAACCTTAAGAAATCTTTACGATTATTATAGTTATTGCCTATATATCTTATAACGATAGACTACTGTTTAAGATTGGCACAATCAGATGCTTTATCAACTAAAACTGAATAGTATTTCTATTATTGATTTCAGAAATAAGAATCTTCTCAAAAGCCTCGCTACAACACTCCATAAGTTGATTTTGTGTGGTTTAAGAAATAATGCAACATTTTTAGGGGCAGATATTAAATAATCTTATAAGATAGTGTCACCTGCATAAATTCCAAAATAAAGTAGTTTGAAAACATTTCCTTCAACTCTTTCTTGAGGACTCTCTTGTATTATAGTCTCCAATATTGTATTATATTTGATTCTAATTAACAATAGAATCAACTTATAAGATCCTTTTTAATTAAAGCTTCAATTTGAAGATTAAAACTTTTTTTGAAGAAATAAAAATGTAATATTTT